ATAAGAGACTCTTAAATATGGAGAACAAACAGAGGGTTACTGGAAGGGTTGTGGGAGGGGGGGATGGGCTAAATGGGTAAGGTGCATTAAGGAATCTACTCCTGAAATCATTGTTGCACTATATGCTAACTAACTTGGATGTAAATTTTAAAAATTAATTAAAAAAATTTTTTTAACAAATCAATGAATGGATTAATCCCATACCTCTGGATTAGATGACCTCTGGATTAGATGATTTCCTGTCTGACCGGTCTCTGAGATCTTATGCCTCTGACTCTTCCCTTAATTCAATTAGACCACACTGAACATGAGAAATATGCTAAAAATTTTCTCCATTTGGCTCCTGAAAAAAATATCTTGTCCACAATACAGGAAAATCACCACTACAGTTAACAACAGGATCATAGCTATATACATAGTAAAAAATGTATTTCTTTCTTCTTTTTTAAAAATGTTTATTTATTTATTTTGAGAGACAGAGAGCATGAGTGGGGGAGGAACAGAGAGAAAGACATACATATAAAATTCAAAGTAGGCTCCAGGCTCTGAGCTGTCAGCACAGAGTTGGATATGGGGCTCGAACCTACTAGCCGTGAGGTCATGACCTGAGCTGAAGTCAGATGCCTAAGTGACTGAGCCAGCCAGGCACCCCTAACAGTTATATTTTTTGAGAAGTGCCTAGACTTGTCTCAACTTAAATTTTGTGGTCCAATCAGTATCTGTCCTAACTACTCAATTCAATTTTTCAATGTGGCAGAAAAATATCCACAGACAATATGTAAGTGAATCAGCAGGTCATATTTAAGTAAAATTTTATTTACGAGCACTGACACATCGTTTTCATGAAATATTTTTCTTCTGGTTTTTCAACCACTTAAAAATATAAAACCCACTTTTAGCTTGCCAGCCACAGGCTGGATTTGTCCTGCAAGCTATAGCTGGCCAACACCTGATCTACTGCATCAAAAGAGAGAGAAACAGAGAGAGACAGAGAGAGGAAAAGAATTGATCAACAAAATAGATTGTGTTTGTATCATTCCAGAGGGATAAGTGAGGGATGGCATTCAAGCTTCTATAGTACAATAGCACCTCTGGTCAATTTGGAGTTGATAAAATGAGAGGAATCTCAAAAGAGTTAATCACCTACTCCAACCCCCATCACTTCTGTCCCTTGACTCTTGAGCCTGCTGATAAAATTCTAGCCACTGTTCCTGTCCTTGAGCTGTACTAGAAGATATGGGACAAGCAAGATTGTCATCCCTGCTGTCAGTAAGAATGATGGGCCGTCATTACCTGATTCTAGATGGAAAAGAAAAGTATTAATGATTGGATACCTGCCTATCACAAAGCAAAGCAACTCATTTTCTGCAGAGAAAACAAAAGGAACTGACTTCTGCCAATGGAAAGATCCCTTCATGAAATTTATTATCTATGGAGTGGCAGAAAAAATAGGCCCAACAAAATGTTAAATTCCAAATTTGTAGCAGCAAGGATCCTGACACCTCAAGTAAACTCTGGAGAAAGCTCAACCTTCTCTACAAAGTTTATTATTAGACCTCAAGGATTAAACAGATATCTCACACAAATATATTTTAAATCCAACATGATACTTAGATGCTTAATCAATTTGACCTGGCAGGTGGCTCTTTTAAAAGCTTTTTAAAATACATTTTCATTTAGTAGTATATATTATTGTCCAAATTGGCTAATATCAACCCTACCCATGATCAATTGTTGTTAGGTATAAAAAAAAAGCAATTAGGAAATATATTATTTGTGTTTCAACTTCAACTATTTATAAGCAGATAGTACATCTTTTACTTGTTTAAAAAATTTTCAGTGTTCTGATTTCCTAAAACAATTGCTCTTTGGTATGAACTAAAACACACTCATGAAAATTCAAATAGAATTCATTTGCTAATAGGCAAAATGGTCTTAAATGAGGTAGAACTTCATTCTTAAACAAACAAGTAATTCACTGATAACAGATGTATAAATAGGACAACAATTCATGGATATGTTAATTGTCCTTCCCTAATAAGGACATTAAATAGCATTTGGTTTATAGCATGAAAAAATAAAATCATCTTCAAGATGAGAAAGAGAAAAATCAGCAAAAGAATGCAATTACCAGACAAGCACCCCCTGAATTATAGCTGGAGCTGAAATCCCATATTAGAGAAAATGAATCCTGAAATAGACAATGTTTCTTCTGTAAGGACAGAAAGGAATATGTCTTTTGTAATTTACAAATCCTACTTTGTGAATTGAAAGAAAAAGATCATTTTAATGACCATATCCTAAGAAATTTCATGTTTTACGTTTGAAAAATCACAGAGTAGGCACAGTTCAGAATATTTTGAGGCAAGCAAACCATAGGTATCACCTTTTCTTCAATCCCAACAGCCAAATGGTTTCCCCTTCCTTCCTACAAGACATGGGTAGCAAGTGGGTTGCTCTGGGCTCAGAGGGGTTCAGGACCATCATATATTTCAAAATCTCTAGGAAGAGTGGTTTGATTGATTCTGGGGCTAACCCTCCAGAATTTTAAGAGCAGGGTCAAAATGATGGGGTCCAAAGATTCTTAGACAAGATCTAAGAGTTAAATAAGAACCCAAGTTTCAACCAGGTATCATAAGGCAAACAATATGCACTTGGCTATCAGTCCCCACATAATCCCCTTCACTCTTGCAACTGTCCACCCCTGGCTTAGTGTGCTGCAATATTCAGATAATGAACTATGCTATACTAGGAAAACTTGTAGTCTACTCTTCTCCAGAATAGCTTGAACAAATCATAGCAAATGTAACATATTTCCAGATATACCAAAATTCACCACACACTATGAACAAAAAGTGAGTTTTGGGGAAGCATACTGTGCTACAATTTAAACACAGACCCTTGGGGCACGTGGGTGGCTCAGTCGGTTGGGCATCCGACTTCAGCTCAGGTCATGTTCTCACGGTTCATGGTTTGAGCCCGCATCAGGCTCAGGCTCTGTGCTGACAGCTTGGAACCCGGAGTCTGCCTTCGATTCTGTGTCTTGCTCTCTATGGCCCTCCCCTACTCACACTCTGTCTCACTCTCCCTCTCAAAAATAAATAAACATTATAAATAAATAAATAAATAAATAAATAAATAAAAATACAGATCCTTCGAAGACTGTTCCTTTCCTTGTCTCTGTGCGTATTCCTGAAAACAAAGCTTAGGAGTCAAAGGGAAATGACCATGATGGACGGAATAATCATATTTCATTCAGTGATGCTTACAACAATTTATGTTTTTGATGTGTGTGTGTAAGAGAGAGAGATCTTTTAATTAAGTTCATAAGTGAGAGAGGATAGGAGCTTGCAATAACTATTGTCCAGTGAACTAGTGCTGAGAATCTGATACAGTACCAGGTGAAATCACTCATCAAAATGGCAGTGATAATAGCAGCAACAGATTCAGCCAACCTTGAGGAACTGCCCTTAAAGGTAACAAAATAAACATAGGGACAAGCCGAGGAAACACAGGAGATGAGGAAGGCAATCTCTCCTCCCCAAACTGAATCTTCAGTCTGCCCCCATCTCCCTGCCTCCAGGGTCACCTCCACTCCAGGCCACCCTCAACTCTCACCTGGGCTGTGGCTCTCATAGATCTGACAGGGTACTCCTCTTCCAGACACACCCTCCAACAATTTTCCCCACAGCACCCAGAGTATGCTTCTTAAAACACAAATTAGAGCATATATTTCTCAAACTCAAATATGTCAATGGATTTTCAATGATCTTAACAAAAGTCTAAATTCTTTACCATGGCCTGCCAGGCCCCTGTTCTAGCCTCACTCCTCTCTGCTCCCCTCTCCACATTAGTCAGATGGACTCTTTGAAAATGCTTTCCTCTGGCCAGGTGATTGCTTGCCTCAGTACACCCCCCCACTTCTGCCCGCCCGCCGCCTTCTTCTCCTGACCAGGCTCCTTCTCACTCCGTTTCACCTCTTCATCCATGTCCTCCTGACTGCCCTTCCCAGTAGGCTCCAATTCTTCTCTAGCATGGCTTCCTGTTTCCTTTCATGGCTTGATAACAACTGGAAATCATTCTGTTTGTCTGTTTCACTCCTTGAAAGGTAAGGCCCTGAGAACCTGAACCATGCCTGTTTTGTTTACTACTGAACCCCCAGTACCCAGAACTGTGGTTATTTGTGGAATGAGAAAATAATTGATGTCCCTCCCATTCCTCCTTCCTTTCCTTTCTCTCTCCCATCATAATAAAGGTCTCTAAGAAATATACCACTCACCAAAAAATAAATTCTTAGTTGGTACATTCATTAAATAATTCCTTCATACATGCATTCACTCTCAGATTTACTCATTTATAATAAATATATACAAGCCTCGTGTTCAAATCATGGGAAGAAAAGCAGGAAAAGAGGTATTGATTATGTTAGTGTGTTTTGTCTAAAAATATAGAATGATAGCTAAATTAAACTGAGTTAAAAGTTTTTTAAGTATTTATTTATTTATTTATTTATTTATTTTTATTTTATTTATTTATTTTAACAGAGAGAGAGCACACGTGAGCATGAACAGGGGAAGGGCAGAGAGAGAGAGGGAGAGAGAAAATCCCAACCAGGCTCCACACTGTTAGCATGGAGTCCAATGTGAGACTTGAACTCATGAACTATGAGATCATGACATGAGCCAAAACCAAGAGTTGGGTGCTTAACCTATTGAGCCACCCAGGTGCCCCTATACTAAGTTAATTTAAAAAGGAACAAGGGCCAGATGTTTGAAAGAGAGACATTTGGAAGACATATCTAGACAGGCTTGGGGTCCCAACCATTTTATGGGGAAAAATAGCTTGTTTCTCTTCTATTTAATTTTGCTTCATTCATTCATTCACTTGTTTAAAAAATAATCTATACTGTGTCCCAAGTATTGTACCAACAGGTGGGCATACCAATGGCAAACAGCAGGTCAAGGAGAAAAAGGGCCTTGGATTTGAAAGAAATAAGATATGGTATTATAGGTCCTGCAATAACCTTGGGGAAGGATAGTGCTCAACCAATGGTGGACACCAAAAATACAAGGAAGCAACATATTCCAGAAGAAAAGAACTTTTCACCAAAGAACGTTTTATACACACACATGTTCATAGCAGCATTATTCACAATAGCTAAAAGGTGGAAGCAACCCAAGTGTCCATCAATGGATGATGGATAAACAAAATGTTTATGGATACACCATAAACATATGGTAAATGTTTATGTATACACCTCTATACATACAGTGAAATATCACTGAGCCTTAAAAAGGGAAGCAATTCTGACACATGCTACAACATGGATGAACCTTGAGGACGCTATGTTAAGTGAAATAGGCCAGTCACAAAAGACAAAGACTGTGTAATTCTATTTATATGAGGTACCTAGGGTAGTCAAATTCATAGAGACCGAAAGTAGAATGGTGGCTGCCAGGGCATGGAGGTAATAGGAAATGGGGAGTTATTGTTTAACGGGTACAGAGTTTCAGTTTTCCAAGATGAAAAGAGTTTTGTGGATTGGTTGCACAACAATGTGAATATGCTTAACACTACTGAACTTGTACACTTAAATGGTTAAGATGGTAAATTTTATGCCATGCATATTTTACTGCTATTAAAAAATTTTATAGACCATAGTGAAGTTAAACAGAAGAGCTGAGACAGCCATCAGATGTGCTCCAAACCTCAGTTCTTTCTGCACCAGAAAGGCAGGCTTCCACATCGGCTAGTGACTAACTGCTTTAGAGGAAGATGGCATCTCAAGGAACACAGACATTATACCTGGATCATAAGGTCTAATAGGACAGCCTTTGTGCAAAGAAAGCTGTCTTTCTGTCCCCTAATTCTGTGACAAGGGCCTCTCAGTTCATCCAAGGCTGTTAAAACATGACTAGCTAGTAATGCTGTGTGAGGACAAACAAATTAAAATAAACAGCAAGCAAAAGCCAGGTAAGGGTTCCACAACTCACTTGCATATAGCAAATGCTATTCTCTCAGTTACGAATGAGTAAATTAATTGGTCTTGGCACAAGCGACTTACTGGCTTGAGGAAAATTTCTGCTGTAAAATCAAAAACACTCTTCACAGGCAGCCCTCAAGGAGTCTGAGAGGTATCCGTGAAGGGTGCTACTTTTATCAAGATGTCTGTGGATGTTCAGACACAATAAAGGACTTGCTTTCAAATTCTCCAGCAAAAAAAAAAAAAAAAAAAAAAAAAAAAAAAAAATGGGGAAGGCAGATGAAACAAGATTGCCAAAATATTAATAATTCTTGAAGCTAGATAAAGGTTGCATGGGGTTCATTATATTATTCCCTCTAATTCTGTGTTTACTTGAAAATTTCTGTCATAAAATTTATTTTTTAAATGTGCATGTGGCAGAACAATTTATGACAGACTGTGGATGACTTTAAGACAGACACAGAATTTAGATTATTCCTAACCCATCAAGATACTATAAAATTAAGCAGGAAAATTTATTGCTGGTAGAATGTTATGGTGCCTTTTCCCAAATGAGTTACAGAACACAAGTGCACAGGCTGGGAAAAGGACCAAGAAATAAGAAAGGAGACTTCTAGCCTCTGCCTTTTTCAGCTATAACAACCAAATATACTAGGGGAGCCATGGCAGGGAAGTCAGCTCCCCCCACCAAATCCCCATAGCCAACTACTTTCCCGAAGATGCAGAAACCTTATTGTCTCATGCTCCAACTAAAAAAAAAAAAAAAAAAAAAAAGATATTTATTTATTTATTTATTTATTTATTTATTTATTTAGAGAGGAAGGGAGGGGGGAAGTAGGGGCAAACAGAGGGAGAGAGACAGAATCCCAAGCAGGCGCTGCACTGTCAGCACACAGACTGATGCAGGGCTTGAACTCATGAACCATGAAATCATGACCTGAGCTGAACCCAAGAGTCCATGCCCCACTTGCACTCCAGCTTTGTTCTAAATCCAGTGGTAACCATAAATAATGAATCCAACATCTATTAAAGTTGTCCATGCACATTTGATTCCCAAGAATTATGCACATGAGTGTTTCTAACTTGAAAAAGCATCCACTTTGTGGTTGATTAACTTCCAATCTTGGGAGGTCACCAAGGTGACAATCAATAAAAACTGAGCAAAAGCAATAGAAGGAAATTTTTCCCAGTTAAGAAGAATGCTCAAGAAGTGTTTGCTGAGTTAATGAATTCAATAAATAATTATTTAAAGCCATCTGGGGCAACTGTCTACTGCCTTCTTCCTCTCTGTGGTTTTCATATTTGATACAGAAATCAGTTAAAGTTTCACCCTTTAAAAGTTCATATTCTTCCAGTAATCAACTATATCTGTTACACATTTTAATAATATTTATGCTGATTATACAAGCTGTACATGCTTAGTCTGGAAAACTTGGGAAATAAGACATGAATAAAAGACTCAAAATAATCACTTTTCATCATTTTGGTTTCTTTCATTCATACCTTACAGAAAAAAAAACAAAACAACAAAATATATAAGTGTCCTAAAGGGAGATGCTGGTAAAAAAAAAAATTACAAACTTCAGTTATAAGATGAATATGTTCTGGGGATCTAATGCACAGCATGGAGGCTATAGTTGTATTGTATACTTGAAATTTGCTAAGAGAGTAGATTTTAGCATTCCCACTATATAAACACACAAAATTGGTAACTGTGTAAAGTAATGGATGTGTTTATTAACTTGACTGTGATAATCATTTCACAGTGTATGTGCATATCAAATTACCACACTGTACACTTTAAATACATACAATCTTGTCAATTATAACCTGGGGTATAAAGCCTCAGGGGAAAAAAGAAATAACATCCCCACATCTTTTATAGCTAGGTGTGTTCATCCAACTATGTTTTAGCCAGTGGCAAGTCTATGGAATGAGGTATATAACTTAGAAGCCATATCCAAATGAACAAAAGAAAGAGAAACATGTCCTATTATGCCCATTTCCCTTGGAACGCAAATGTAGGGGTAAGCCTTTGTAACAAAGATCAACAGGATGGGTCCCCCAAACTATACCAAACTCTAGCCCTGGTAGGCCACTCAGACCTCAACCTTCAGGTTGGAAGCAATTATTTCTCCAGCTGCCAGAAGTATTGGCTGGAAATTGGTCTTAGCTACAGGGAGCCTCTCTCCATAATATTCCCCCACTGAGGGCAGCCTGCATGCAGTTACTGGTCTGTAAGGAGTTGCAACCCCAGGTCTCCTTGCCTAGATGCATGACCAATTCAGAAGAGCCATCCCAACGCCAGAGTTCCCCTTAAGATCAGCTGGTCTCTATTGGTAACTGCATCACAGTGCAACTTCTCTCTGCTCAGTATTGCTTTCCTCATTCTCATATATGTTTTGTCCAAGGGTACTCTCCAATAAAACACCTACACACTGATTTCCATTGCAGTCTATTTCTCAGAGAAACTAACCTTAGCCAAAGAGCTACTGTTATTTGCTGTGTCAAAACAAGTAGTATCTATGTTCTAACTAATCCAAGTATCTATTACATGTTGATCCCAGGACTGGAATTCTAAATTAAGACACCACATTTTTTACCTCAAGATCATGGAAAATGGCATGTAGTGAAAGGCATGTAAATAAGGAATAAATAAGTATGGTTATAGGGATTTGACCATCCCTGGTCTTATAAATACCACCAGGCTTGCCCCACATCACTTTGAAGGAAGAAAAAGTCAGTCTTGTTCCCAAATTTCAACATCCTTGCATGCTCATTGCCTGGTTCCCTTAGGACAGGGCAATTCCTTCCTTCAGATGATCTGTTTGGACATTCTTCCTTAATTTGCCAGCCTTGCCCTTCCTCAAGCTCCTCTGACTCAAGCTGTCTCTTGATCTTGGGAGACAGCCCACATGCATAGCCCATAGCTCCAGATCAGAGGCACAGCCCCAGGTCTCAGGGAAGAGTTTCCTTCATGCCCCTTCCCAGTGTATAACCCATCCC